CCACAACTCCTCGGGGAAATAGACGTATACTAGTGCCCTCATGGTCATGCAATATGTGCTTAATAGTCTCATGTATGCGAGCTCATTGGGCCTCTCTTGCAATTGTTGGTTCATAAGATGCCTACTCTTGCAAAAAAGCACGATGGGGCTTGTCTTTCCCAATTTTATAATGCATTTTCTTCATCCCTAGTCAAACCACGATTGACTACGCCTCCTCCATCAGCTGTCAGACCACCATTGGTTACGCCACTTCTCGTGGTCGGACCACCATTGGATATGCCACCCTCCTCGTCCAGACCACCATTGACCACGCCCACTTCCTTTGTCAGACCACCATTGACCACACCTACTTCAAAGTCTCCATTTACTATGCCCCCCTTCGAGTTATACTTGCCCTCTTCGACTGGCGCCACCATTGCGATATCTTCATCCTTTTCTGTATCGCCATAATCGCATGCACCCAGGTAACCATGGTAATATAAGAACCGATATATTACAACGAATACAAGGAACTCTATAGCTAACAGTGGACCATAGAGAGACGGGATCGCCTGCATCTCAGCACGCGCCGGGCCGGCCGGAAATGACGAATTGATGACGCTGAGTGATAGAGCTACATTTTGACACCCGGCTTCTATGGCGATGGTACGTCTTTTTGAGCACGGTAAGCGAATGATGGATGATGTGATAAACCCCACACAAAATGCTAAAGCAGGTAAGCTGGCAGAGACGACATACACCTGCCATGACGATGTGTAGACATCCGGCTTGATGTACGCCCTCAAACCTATACCGATAAGTATTCCGGCAATTCCAAGAAAAGCACAGACCTGTAAAAAACAAATATAAAATAATTAAATTACTTATATTTCATTCGTTTTTTCACCCCACTGTCAAGTACGGTCTTGCCATTTACACTACATTCAAGTTTATTAACTGGTTTAATAATACAATGTATATGTCTGTGATCGACAGTGTTACTTAAACATGAAACTCATCTGTCGTAAAAATCGCTCTTTTTGTGACGCGTGTGTGTTTGAAATCGACTCGGAAAAGATCGTTTTTAAGAAAAGGCGTCAGGCATTTTCAGTATACAAACACTACAATTAACTACCAGAGTATCGTCAGAACATAACACTCACGTACATTGCACGGAAATATGGGTTTGCGAGATTAAATAGCGATGTTAAAGGTCAGACGTTGGTTTATGGGTGAACTATAATATAATTTATGACCCCCCCCCCTACCTACCTTCGAAACTTTTTCAATTTTATTCGGTATTACTTTGTATTTGAGGAATAATCCAATTGCAACGGGAACCAATGAAACGGCCAAGGATACCATAACCGTAGCGTATGGAATGACTACATTGGCGTCGTCCGTCCAAGTACGGCCGTATAAAAATAAATTCAGCGGCATGGCACCCACAGCAAGTATGGTTGAACACGTAGTGAGGGTTATGCTGTAATAAATAGAAGAAACAAACATCGGAAAGGTAAACAAGAGTTAGTAGTCATG